ACGCACACAAAAAACGCGCGGCTCGATTGTGTCGGTGCGCGGAACGTCGCACGCACACACCCGGGACACAAGGGGAAAAACCACAGCGCGAGTACCACACACGCACACACACACACACACACACACACACACACACACACACACACACACACACACACACACACACACACACACACAGACAGACACACACAGACACACACATACGTACACGTATACGTTTCATGTATGTATATATACGTATGTATATCACGATCCGTTCACAGAAGCTCGCCACGGCATTGCACAGCAGCCGTGTATCTGACAGTACCTAACGTGCTTTCGAAAGCGCTCATTAGTCACTGAAATGCGGTCACGAAGTGACAACTCGCACGTGGAATATTATACGCTCCAAGAACTTGCATCGGTACTCATATCGCGGCTCGCGTGCTCATACTCGCGCCAACACGTTTGTCTCTCTTTCCTCCCTCCCTCCCTCCCTCCCTCCCTCCCTCTCACTCTCTCTCTCTCTCTCACTCTCACTCATCTCCCCCCCCCGCCCACCCGCCAGTCCTCTTCCTCTGTTTGTAACTTTCGTATTATACACCCTTTGTCCGCGATTCGACAGTTTCGACAGTTTTGCAATGGAACGTGAGAACGCGGCAGCCCGGTCGACCGTCCGAGAGAAGCCGGTTGCAAACGACGTTAAAGTTCGATCGGCCCCGCCGCATCTGGGACCACCAAAAATTTTTATCCCGGTCCACGGTACGCGCGTACAACGTTTCACGTTCTACGAACGTATATATATATATATACACGGTTCCGATACGTTTTTATTACCGGCGGATCCTCGGCAAAACCGCTACGAAGCCGCGACATTGATGGAACAGTCCCATCCATTTTTGCGAATTAGAAAGTTTAGACACGAGAAGTCTCGTTTACACACCCCGAGAGAGGATCCTTTTCAAATAACTAATGCATCGAATTATAAAGATTAAGTAAATTAAAGTTATACAATCGACATGTCATTTTAAGAAATCTTTTTCACGACGTGCCGACGATCGAAGGATGGATTTTCGTCCGCGGGAAGGAAATAGAGAAGTTAGGAATTATCATCTTCATAATTCCCGGAAATAATCAACCATGCGCAAAATGTTACTTTCTAAAATCAACACCTTTGTAATGCATTTATTTAAGTATCGTGTTTCGCTTCCTCGTTTCCCTGATACCTGCGAGAAGTACCGTTTCTACGATTACAATCCGCACGTTTGCCTCACTCTTAGGCCTAACCGACGTCAAACGTCCCTGTTAACGGTCGTTTATTCCGAAGATAATGAGGAAGATGTTGGCAGGGCCTGAGGAAAGGAAATTGTCTACGAGAGTCGAGAGAGTGACAAATTAACTCGCGTCTTGACTTCCGTGAGATTCAAATCCTACCTCCGCTACCTCGGATAGATCCCCGCATATCACCGGAGGTGGAAAACCTTACGGAAATGCCGGTCGTCAAGTAGGTACAAAGTTTAAGAGGAATGTTTAACCTCCGATGTGAGAAACATTTCTCCCTTCCTTAAAAAAAAAACCTCTCTGCATACTTTGCTAGATCCTGTACGTTTAGCGCTTTGATTCACCGCGGCCCATTTCGGATGTGAAATTTAGTTAAAAAATTGTAAACGCAATTATATTGCTCGAGATTCTAACCGCAGATTCTAACACAATTCTCAAAAAAAAACTTTAGTAATTTGGCAAGGTACAAATGTACTGATATCATATTTTTTTATCCATGCGACGAGAAATTAAAGAAGAATTAATTCGTGAAGTAAAATTTTACTTTCGCCACGAGAGAAATCGCCGATATGATAAAACGTGTAACTTAAAAAAATCGCAGAGGAGTGTCCAATTAGGACGCTAATGTGTCGGGAAGTGACGGAAATGAAGCGGAACGAGGCTTCGTCGATAATTTTCGAGGCATGCGTCAATCACTGTACCGTACTTTGAATGGAGGTTGGATATTTACCTGGAGTCTACTCATTCATCCTTAATTAACGTAACTGTGCGTGATATCCAGATGTTTCTAAGCTAAGAATCATGATCGGCAGATTTCTTCTTAGACTATCCGAGGTAATTTATATCGACCCGCTCAAGCTTGAAAGAGAGGAGGAAAACGAACTACCGCTGATGTTAAAATCCCTCATTATCTAGGAAAATCATGATCATTATCGTATTCTATCTTTCTACTTGTCACATTATAAGACCCAACTTATTCAATACCCCTGAATCGAGAAAAAGTTCGAAGGCTATGAGAAATTTTGAATAATGAATGCCTCCTGAATAGAAATATTCGGTCTCGAGGTTGATCGTAAAATATGAAATGAAAAATGTTATTTTACACAAATTATAAAATAATAATCACAAGATAAATTAAAAGAATATTTTTATTTAGTCCATAAAAGATATTAAATTATTAATTGTCATTTTTCTTTAATTTAATCCAAACTAGTAAAATATTTTATAATTCTTTAATACTCTCTTATTAAACGATCACGTATAAAAATTTTATAATAAAATATACGTAAAATATATACTTGTATTATTATATAAAATACATAAAATAACATGTATATATATATATATACATATATCAATTGACATATCTTTCTCATATTTTAATAACAGATGCGTCAATGAAAATAGAATATAATATCAATATCGTACAGTATTGATAGATACAAATTATTTATATATAT